AAAAAAAAAAAAAAAAAAAGGTTATGAAGAACCTAGGGGCAGGACAGGAATAATGATGCAGACATAGAGAATGGACTTGAGGACACGGGGAGGGGGAAGGGTAAGCTGGGACAAAGTGAGAGAGTGGCGTGGACATATATACACTACCAAATGTAAAATCGGCAGCTAGTGGGAAGCAGCCACATAGCACAGGGAGATCAGCTCGGTGCTTTGTGACCACCTAGAGGGGTGGGATAGGGAGGGTGGGAGGGAGACGCAAGAGGGAGGAAATACGGGGATATATGTATATGTGTAGCTGATTCACTTTGCTATAAAGCAGAAACTAACACACCATTGTAAAACAATTATACTCCAACAAAGATGTTTAAAAAGAAAAAAAAATGAATGAGGGTTGGAAGCCAAGACTTGTTGAACTACAAAGGCCTTAGCAAGTTTATTCCATGAAGCTGGTGGTAGGGCCAGAATGAATCTGCCTTACTGGCCACTTAAACACTGTGGACGTGTTAATAAATTACATGGTTATGCTTCAGAAGAAAGAAGTGGACCCAACTTATACACGTCTATGTGATAGAGTGTTCTATTTTTCAAGGCAATAGTATTAAAATGAAAACAAAGCCTCTTTCTGATAGAAGCTCATTCATTCTAAAAAGTCAAAGCCAAGTGAGAAGGAATTTACAAATTAAAATCCACTAGATAATTGTTGGTATTACAAACCTTACTCTAGTGGAGTCAGGAACATTTCAGTAATACGCCGGTAAAATTTTGGAACTACAAGAGATCTGAGGTGTCATTTATTCCATTTACTAGATGGGAAGGCTGAGACCCCACCACCCCCTATCACTGTAATGAATCTTTTCTGGTAAGTCTCCTCACTAGCTGAGAGTCTCTTCAGAAGAGGGTCCATATTTTATTCATCTCTGTATCCCCAGCACAAAGAATAATTCCTGGCACTTAGTGGGTGCTCAGCGCATGGGTACTGAATAATTGTATAGGAAACAGACTAAAATTCCCAGGATATGGCTCCGCCCCCAGTACACTCTATGACCCCCCCCGTCTTAGATTCTCCCCAACACCTCCCCCTGTTTCTGAATTTAATCTAATCTCTCTCATATCCCCAAATCCTGTTTTTTTAACACAATCTCCCAAAGCAACACAGTACCACATACCCTCACAAAGAGCAGACAATTGCACCAGGAGTAAATTATGGAGAACCCAACCAGCTTCAAGTCTCAGAGGAGTGGTTGAACTGGATGATCTCTAAGACACTTAATCTTCAGAGTTCCCCAGACATTTAGGTGGTGAAACTATCAGAACATACTTGGAAGGGGTAAACTGAGGAGTGATTCAGTGCCACACCCACCCTACCTCGCAGGCCAAGGGCTAAAGGATCATTTTCAGCACACCCCGACCTAACCCATTTGCTGGGATCCTCTTGGGAATCTCTGCCGTGAAGAAAGTTCCCAGTAAGAGGAAGAGCACAGATTTCAAGAAAGCCACAGACCTGGATTTGAAAACCGGGTTTGCCACTTATCATGTAGGCAATCTTCAGCAAATTGCTTAACTTCTCTGAGCCCCAACTGTAAAAAGAGGACGCCAAGAGCCACTCTGAAGAGCTGTGAGGATGAAATACCATATGGTAGGTATTTAACAAAGGTTCGTTCCCTGCGCTCCCAGTCTGAAAATCGACTCTCCGGGACTGTTTCCATGCCAATCAACCGGCTTGACTGGTTTCCTCAAGAAGGTCACCTGACCAACCTGGACACGGCTGTGTCAGCTCAGACAAGGACTGTCACTCGAGCTGCACAAGACTGGAGCAATTCCAGTGCGTGGTGGAGAAGACAGCCCTCACCCCAGGAGCATACTCCCCACTCCCAGCCCTGTCAATGTTCCTTTTGTAAAACACAGAAACCTTCTTCAAATCTGACAGCTGCCACCTGCACAAATAATTCGGGGATGTAATTTTGTAACTGAATACAAGCCCTGAAAGCTGAAAAGTTTGAAGTCCAAAATAATCCCTTTGACCTTCTGCCTAAACACTCACTAATCACTTTTTAATTTGTAGTTTATTTCCTCTCTCTGTGCTGTCCTTCTAGGCTATATTTTCATTTTAGACATATCCCGGGAGTGAATGGCATTACAGAACACCTGATTAAAGTAGAAGTCAAACTTCTCTCCCAGACATCTGAGGCTTGGTGCATACCCCACTGAGTTCTCCAAGTTGCAATGGGTGGCCAGAAAGTGAAGGAGAAAAAGCCTGCTTTGATGGAGGAAACTCCACACTGAGAGAATTATGAGCTACAAAAATTAATAAGAAGTGGTCCCTGCCCTCTAAGAAGGCATACTCTGGGGACAACTGCCCATGATGCCACATGACGGGAACTTCCACATAGGCATTTCTAAAATATTCAGGGAGCATGGAAGATGCCCTTTAGCACATGACTCAGCAGCCAATAGGTGTGCAATACCGGTTTATAGACTAGCTCAATAAATGCATTTCAAAGATTCCTTGCTGTTATTTGAATGCTAATGATGTATTTAAAGCAATACAAACAAACAAAAAGAAAAATCCAGAACTGGGAAGTCTCCCCCACCCCCAAAAAACTGCTTCAGAGTTTCACCCTCATCCCCTACCCACCTCTTACTCTTAAGGCAAAGTGAGAAAAGTAGTTTGAGGGAGCCTATCTAATTCCTAACACACAGATGCTGAAAAGATGCGAAAAAGGAAAAACTGAGAGGTAGAAATGTTGTTCAATTCAGAAGAAATTTCTTCCTTGGAGGAAAAAGGTTTCTAACTTAATCATCACTAGGATCGCTATAAATTATAGTAAGTTGAAGGCAGATAGATATATTGGGGTCATTCTACTTTGTGTCTGTTCTAATAAATTAGCCAACCTTTCACCTACTGAGCAAGAAAGAATCTCAAGTAGTCTGAGCTGGGTCAGCTCAGCCAATATTCTGGAAGGAAAATGATCTCCACACTAGTTTTCGATTCAGTGAAGTAATGCCTGGTAGCGATAAGATAGCACAAGTGAGTTTGGGGAATTTAGTCAAAGTTTCTCTAGCCAAGGCCACCTTAAAAACAAATACTAACCAATGGTAACTGATAATAAAAACTTGTATTCATCAGCATTAACTCTGCTGCTAACTAACTATATCATTGCACTGCTGCTCTCTTGGGCTCTATTTCTTCATGTGCAAAATGAAAGAGGTGGTCTTACCAGGTGTCTTATGGACCTTCCAAAGTTTTCACCTTTATCCAAGGAGTGCAGGGCATCTTCTGAACAAACTGAAGGCTTTCTTTCCATGGCATCTTTACAGAGCAGATGGGCATCACCTCCTGCCCACTATCCCAGCTGGGGTAACTGGTGAGCAGGCTACTTTAAGTCTGTGAAGGTAGCCTGGCCAAGCAAAGCCTTCCAGGGTTCAAAGATGCTCATTTATAAAGAACAGCCCCAGAAAACATCCCCAAATCTGCAAACCTTCAGATACAAACCAAATTCATGATCGGCAGCTCTTGGCTCAAAGAAGTAGGTATCTATCAGCAATACTGCAGTGTGGGTTAGAGGCGGGGGCGGGGTGGTGGTGGTGGTGGTGGTGGGAATTAGCATCAGTTACTCCTGCAAACTGGATACTATTCTAGGCACTTTGAGCTGGCTCTCATTTATCCCTCCCAATAATCCTTTCCAGTAAGCAGTACCAGCTCGATTTTGCAAAGGCCAGAACAGAAGATGAGAAATAAGGTCACAGAGCAGCAGGGCAGAAACGCCGCTGGCTCAGGCTGGCTTTGCACAGTGCCCTGCGGCCATCACATTTCCTACGTTTAGGTGCCTTTGCCTGGACCTCAGAAGGGGTACTTCTCGTAAATGGGTCAGCCCTCCCGAGACAGAGACCCTTGTGCTCTGGGGCCGCCCTTGGTGGCTCTGGCTGTGAGCCCCGCCCCTTCCCCACCAGGATCAGGGAAACAAAATGTGGTCATCCAGATGCACGTGGGAGAGCGGGCTGCAGGGAAGAACTCCTAGGTGGCTTGCTATAGGAGCCCTATTGTTCCGGAGGGAAGCTCTTTTGCCAGAACTCTCCAGGAAGCCACTGCTCCATGATGCATTTTTCAGCTGTGGAGAGAAAAGGGTAGTTCCTGGGATGTTTATTCCACGGTTCTGGAAGCCAGGCCCTTAATCCTTGCAAAGCAGCAAGGAGCCAGCTTCTCTCCGAGGGACAGAACGTCTAGAGCCCTTCTTCCAAATAAAAACATAAAAACTCCTCAACATCCCCTTTGCAACCTCTCAAAGTGAATGAATCAGGAAAAGGGGGAGGAGAAGGTATTGCAGCCCAAGGAGGGGGCTTTGAGGCCTTCCCTGCAGCCCTCCTCTCCTCATGACCCTGCCCACCTGACCTCTCTATTGCGGTAAATTACAAAGCCCACACTGTTCTCTCTGCCTATCCTCTCCCGCCTGTCCATCCGCATCACCACCCCCGACACACACATACACTTTCTTAAAAGGGCGGAATGCCAAATAACATTATTCTCCTTCACCATAGTATCGCCATGAGAGCTGCCTGGTATGTCTGCCTGAAAAATGGAAGGTTTTCATTGAAATCTCGGCCTCCCCTACAGCTCTCCCTTTGTGGAAATGGACTTGGAAAAAAATGGAAGGAGGCCCCCCTGGAACCTAATTGGGCCGACAAGAGCAGAGGGCAAGGCCCCTGGAATTGTTCAAAGGCTCCAGGCATACCTGACTGCGCCCTTAGCAGCCAGTCAGAGGCCTTCGCACTCCTGCAAAGCCACCCTCTGCGGCCCCGCTCGGTCCCTCCGTGCAGCAAGGCTCTCTGTGACGGCAGCCTCACCCCTGAGCAGGGACCCTATTATATGATCTGAGGAGGGAGATGTGTACTTACAGTACATATATTACCCAGGGATGCAAACAAGTATTCCCGCGCAGGATGTGAGTCTCAGAAAAACTCTTACACTGCCCAGATTCATCAACTAAGCACCAAGAAAAATTAAAAAGGGTCTTCCAGCTTTGGTTTGGTTCGGTGGTAGTTTGCAGCGAGCAGACCCAGGTGCGAGTCCCTCCCCTCTCCTCCAGGTGTAGCGGTGTGACCCTGGACTAGTGAGTTCTCAGGATCTCCACGTCCTCATTGGCAAAACACGTCATGTCATGCAGTTTGGAAGGGCTGCTGTGAGGATTTCCTGAGATGGTGTGTCACTCAGCCCAGCTCTAGCAGATGCGCTCTTAACGTTTCTTCCTTCCCCTGCAAGCGCACCAAGGGGAGGGGGACAGATTCCTAAGGATAGGACAGGATCCATGAGAAATCATGTCTCCTATCATGCCCCAAGGACTGCTGAGAGCAGAGCTGCATATATGGGCTCCAGCCTGTCCGTCAAGATGACAGAATGGGTCTTGGGGAATTAATTATTGAACAAACTCGCCCTTCACAAATCCCATCCAAAGGAGTGGTTTGATGCCTTTTAGTACACTGACTATACAAAATCCTGAAAGAGCAGCGCGCTTCAAAAGCCTCACAAAAACCCAGGCCTGGGTTTGGCAGGAGTTCCTCAGCCACTGGGTTTTTCTGTGTGTGGTTTATAATAACATGCAAACCTGATGCCAGGTCCTAATCTATTAAGGGACTGCCAATTAGCAGGAGGCTTAGAGCTGCAGGTTTGAGCACTGGGGAGGAGGTCTAATTAGGCTTGCAAATCACTTCTATCCATCGCGCCTCTCCATCTGACCCAGGCTATACTGGCCAATTGTTCTGCATATAGCCTTTCTGTATTCCTTCGCACACAGCTCTTTGTGTGTGTGTTTGTTTTAAGGTTCCAGGCCTGAAGGCCAGTGCTTATTTTCATGTCTGTCTTTAAGGGTGACATGGGGGATCGAACAACGTTACCCTCTGGATACTGACTCTCCGATTTGGCCAATCATCCAAACCATCAGGGGCACTTATTAAAAAACACATTCCAGGCACTGCCCAGAACCCACTCAATAACTCAATCAGAAGTTCTGCGGCGAGGGCCTGAGAATTCTCCTTTTATAATAAGACCTTGAGATGATTCTATCCCAAGGCGATCTGGGAATCACTACTCTAAAAAGTCAAGACCATTTCATGTTTGAATTCAAGGGGTTTTACAATGGAATTTTTATATGCGTACACCAAATAAAGAAAATTTTTAAAGCATATTGAATATCGAAGGTTTACTGAGCGTCTATTTTGTGCTGGGAGTGGGAAATACTGAGATGAATAAACCAGGGCTCCTGCCCTCAAAGAGCTCCCTATTTAGGGGGCTGGTAACATTCCCATAGAAACCCCGTCTTTCCTACTAGGGCTCCACACCTACAAGCCTCCTCTCACTTTCTCTTCTGCCTCGTTGTGAACCTAGCTTTCCAATGTCTTTGCCAAAACAGCTCTGAAAAAGAAACAGAACGATTTCAGACACCAAACATCAGAGGCCTATCTTAGAAAGGGAGAAAAAAAACCCTACTAAACATATGGTTTCAAGATACAGGAGAAAATATGTGGTTTAGGACTGCCTGTTCTGAGATAGAAGCAGAGTGGGGAGTAACATTAGGGGGCCTCTGTGCAGCAGAATAAGCCCAGGGCTGGGTCTTGGAGCCCAGCATTGGATTCTTCGGTGACTTCAGAAAGTCCCTTTTCCTCGCCAAGCCCCCTTATCTATTAAAGAGAGGAGCCTGCACTATTCGGTTATATCCCAAAGCATATTTGGCACAAATTGTTCTCCCTGGAGACTTCATCAGAGTTCACTTTTGAGTTTCAACAGGGAGATGTACAACCTAGAAGAACCACAGTTCTCCAGAGCCCTTGCTAAGAAAAGCTAGCCTAAATGGTCTCTAACCAGCTCCAAAATTACGTTTTGAGGGTATGGCTTTCCAACAAGACTGATTTCCTAGCCAGCAGGGATGGTGTTTCTTATTCATCCTCTACACATTGCTGGGTGCACAGCAGACACTCAAAATAAAGGAATACGTGTGGGGTAGACAGTATGGCCAAGTTGTGTTTGAGAGAGAGCACCCTGGCGGCCATGGGGAAGAGGGACTGGAGAACAGGACTTTACACCTAAAGCTCCCTGCTCAGTGACACATGACAAGCATCTTCCCAAGGAAAAACCTGCATTCTCTAGACACATCCCCATCCGCCCTGAATAAGAGGTATGAAAGTCTCTCACAGCCTGGACGCCAAGCTAGGTCCAGGACAGCACAACTCAAATAAACACTGCCTGCTCTCCAGGAGAGGCTGGGCCTGTTCCCCTCCTTGCTTCCTACACCTCTCTGAAACTCACTGCTAGTCTCAGACCCTCTCAGGTTATCTTAACGCACAGCACTATTCAAAAGCATTACTAGGCGTAGACGAGAAGTATGAGGCTAAAGGGGGTAGCAATCCATCTGTTGGCTGCTGAAGCACATGGCAAAGAGGAGCATGGTATAGCTCCACGTGTGTGTATTCTGGAGTCAGACACACCTGGGTCCTGTCTCCACCTTAAACATGCCAGTTAACTTCTCACAGGGATATGACATAAAAAGGATACTGTGTGAGAAAATGTTTCACACAATGCCTAGCACACTGAAATGCTCAATCGGTGTTACTCGTATCATGAATATGGGATGGTGTGTCTTCTGTAAGAAGGAGAGAGACAAGTGTTATCTTGGCCAATAAAGAAGTCTACTATGTACTTCACAAAGAGCTACTGATTACGTATCATGAACGTCACCAAGCCTTTGGGTTTTTTATGAGATGGGAGCGGGTGACTGACAATACAGACTATCAAGAAAAGCATGGGCTTTTGGGATTAAATGGATTTGCTTTTGAAGTTTGCATCTGCCTCTCTTTAGTCCCGTGACGTTGGGTAAGCTGCTAACCTCTCCAGGCCATCTGTAACATGGGGCCAGTGGAGGGGTTACTCTGAAGTTTAGAGGTACAGTACCATATACAGAGTGCACTCAATTCATGAAGCTATGGTTATGGCCCCCACAAAATACATTGGAATGAAGCAAGATGACTAGGGTAGCCCTATGTCCCCACGTGGCAGTTCTTCCTTTCCTTTAAAGCAGGCGAGGGCATCAGCATATGTAGAGTTTTCTACAATTCCAATGTCTTTTCAATGTTTGATTATTTCCAGCTAAAGGAAAATAACTGGGGATTTTCTCAGCACTTCATGTTGGTTTGAATGGAATGTCACTTGGATCTTCCTTAGTTCACACCACACTATGGAAACTATGTGTTCACTTTCTTTTCATTCATTTTTGTCCAATAGATATTTATTATGCACCTACAACGAACAAATCACAGATGTAAGAGCAACTGGGGAGATGCAGTGATCATAAGTTAAATCGTTTTCTTTTTTAATTCATGTGGGGAAATTAAGAAGAGTAGTGATTTGCCCAAGTGCACTCAGTGACAAAGAGACACAAGTACAGGTATCCATGAGCTGTATAACTGCACCATGACTGGCTACATTAGTCGGTTATTGTTATGCTGGTTCTAGCCTTCCCTAGGGCCTAATGGTGTGTGTGTGTGTGTGTGTGTGTGTGTGTGTGTGTGTGTGTGTGTGTATACATATATATATATATATATATATATATATATGGGGTGCAAGTGTGTGTGTGTACATGTGAGTGTTTGTGTGTGGCTTGCCATAATCACTAATGCAGGAGAAGGAAAATGAAGAACTAAAAGGAATCTACAAAAAAGAGAGACAAACAAGATAAAAATTGGTGACCAATATCTAATACTGATTGGTTTTGCTATAAAGTGTGATCCAGTTGCCAGGGAATTGATGGGATGCTATAAAGCCTACAGGTCACTGTATTATAAATACCAGTACTTATCTGGTACTTTCAGATAAGAATGGAAGAGTCTGTGCAACAGGCTTAGCAAATGCTTTAGAGCAATAAAACATTTTAACTAAGTATAGTGTGCTGTACTTAACTTCATTTTTAAATAACATGATTTACACAGGTTTCAAGTAGTCAAACTCAGTTAAATTTAGCAGTTAATAACCATCAAACATTGTCTCACGCTAATTAAATTCAGATCAAATAATTTTTTTTCCCTTTGTTCATGGTATTTTCAAGTCATGGGGAGAAGACAGGATGTGATGATAATGTATCACTCCAGATTCACTCAGGCCAGAATTCAAATCTCCAGCTACTTGGCCTGGGTCTCAATTTCCTCATATACAAATGCGGGGTGTTAAGGACTGAATTATGCCCCACCTCAAAAATTTCATATATTGGAATTCTAACCCCCAGGACCTCCGACTATGACCTTATTTGGAAGTGGGGTCTTTACAGTAGTAATCAAATTACAGTGACGACATTAGGGTCAGTCCTAATCTAATATGGCTGGTGACCTGCTGCAAAGGGGATATTTGGACAGAGAGACACGCATACAGAGCAGACAGGGAGAATGCCATGAGAACATGAAGACGGCCATCTACAAGCCAAAGAGAGCGGTCAGGAACAGATCCTTGCCCCACAGCTCACAGGAGGAATCGCCCTGCATCACCTTGACTTCAGGCTTCTATCTCCGTAGCTCTGAGACAATACATTTCTGCTCTTTAAGCTATCCAGTCTATGGTACTGTCACAGCCATCCAAGCAAAACAGGGGCAATAGTACCATTCCCAGGGTGAAGAGAAGAGAAAGGGAGTGGAAGAGAAATCTATGTGTGATTAAAGGGTGATGCTTAATTCTGAATGATCATAAAGGGTCATATGGTCAAGCAAAGACAAAATAATTTTCATTATGGTGACTATTAGCAACATAGAAGATTGTATGTAGGACTTCCCTGGTGGCATAGTGGTTAAGAATCTGCCTGCCAATGCAGAGACACGGGTTCGAGCCCTGGTCCGGGAAGATCCCACATGCCGCGGAGCAACTAAGCCCGTGTGCCACAACTACTGAGCCTGAGCTCTAGAGCCCGCAAGTCACAACTACTGAGCCTGCTTGCCACTACTACTGAAGCCCACGCGCCTAGAGCCCATGCTCTGCAACAAGAGAAGCCACGACAATGAGAAGCCAGCGTACAACAACAAAGAGTAGCCCCCGCTCACCGCAACTAGAGAAAGTCCGCACACAGCAATGAAGATCCAACACAGCCAAAAATAAATAAATAAATAAAATAGAAAAAAATAGAAAATTGTATGTAGGACTTCCCTGGTGGCGCAGTGGTTAAGGATCCTCCTGCCAATGCAGGGGACACAGGTTTGAGCCCTGATCCGGGAAGATTCCCACATGCCACAGAGCAGCTAAGCCTGTGCACCACAACTACTGAGCCTGTGCTCTACAGCCAACGAGCCACAACTACTGAGTCTGCATGTCACAACTACTGAGCCCACGCGCCTAGAGCCTGTGCTCTGCCACAAGAGAAGCCACTGCAGTGAGAAGCCTGCACACCGCAACGAAGAGTAGCCCCCGCTCACCGCAACTAGATAAAAGCTGGCGCGCAGCAACGAAGACCCAGCACAGCCAAAAATCAAATAAATAAAATAAATAAATTTTAAAAAAAAAGAAATGGAGAAGTAAAAAAAGAAGGTCCCTGCCTCAGATTTCACTGTCAAGGTTCCACATAAACCCTCACTTATTCTCTATACCTCTCCAAATATACGAATACAGTGTTTTCCCCAAATTGTAATCTACCATACAAATACTCTTAATTCAAAGATCAAGAGAGAAAAAAAACAAAAACTAAAGAGCAAGAGAAAAGCTACGTGTGTGGCCTGGTATCTGTAAACACGCCAGAAAGTTTTCTTCTAAATGTTGTTCAATCAACCAATCAGACATTGTCACTTCTCTGATTAAGTCTTGTCATCAAAAACACCACCTTCAGTGGGAATCAAGACATCCCTACATCTGATGACAACATCCAACTAATATTAGGGGAACCTGTATGCAGATTCAAGGCCCTGGCACCTCTGAATTCAAGAATGTTTGCATTGGTTGAGCAAGCCTACGTCTGTAAAACTACTGTGTAGGAACAATCAATAGTAAACTGGCACATAACGCTACAAGGCAGAGACAGAGTAAGCTTGGATTCTTGACTCTTGGAAGACACGAACACATGGGCTACATCATTGATACACATTTGGGGCACAGAGCAAACATCTAAGATCACTAATACATGAAAGGTTGTCCCTTTTTGCCTCACATCTTTGAGCCCTTTCTGTTCCAGAAAAATCAGTTTTCCAAATGTACAACCCAAAGCCACCGCGCTTCTTCTATGGCGACGGGTTCCAGCTCCCAGGCTCTCCAGCGTAAGTTCTCTTGCCCGTGGTTCTGCCAAACCCACCCTTTTCCTTCTGTTGTTCCTACTCTTGTGTTTCCACTCCCCTCCCTCTGTCTCACCAAGCCTTTGACAGGAAGCGGGTCTTTTCTGGTCACGGAAGTTTGTGCTTAATAGGTGAAGTTTAGATATATCAAAATGAAGAACTGGGAATTCCCTGGTGGTCCAGTGGTTATGACTCGGTTCACTGCCAGGGCCCAGGTTCAATCCCAGGTCAGGAACTAAGATCCCACAAGCCGCATGGCCAGAAAAAAGAAAAAGGAACAGGAAAAGAACAGGAAAAAAAAACCCCACGAAGAATAGAATCCATCAGAATTTAAATTATTTTCTCTTCCTTAAGCTCCATCACTGAGCCTTCCCCCGTGCTTACAGCCCTTCTCTACCTGAACTGGACTCCTTCTGTTGTCAGTGTGCTGCTGTTTGGAATACCTGTAAAGGTGAGTATTCGAAGTTTCACTGCAGGGAAGGTCAAATGTAAAATCCTGTGTGCGTGATGGAGGAGAGGAAAGTCATGTGTGCGTGAACACATTGGGAAGTACTTCAAGTTTTGGTTAACTAAATGTTGAGCTCCTTGAGCGGGAATTGTGCTGTTTAACTTTATACCTCCATCAAGCTAGCACGTAGCAGGTGATCAGTAAATATTGCAATTAAGTGAGTGAATGAATGAATTCATGAATGTGGTTGCTTTGGGTCTTGAAAGAAAACCACTGGTCTTCAGGTGAGGCATCTTGCTAGAATGGGAACGTCCCCATGTACCTTGGAGGCTCATTTTCCTTTTCTGCTCAAAGACATACCATGTCGTTAAGCCCACATTTTAGAGGCATGCCGATGAAGCAGACAGAGGAAAGATGACAGCTTCCGAAACCAACTTTCGAGGCTTTGGAAAGAAAGTCTCACTGTATGGAGAAACTTTATACTTCCTCCCATCGGTCTCATAGTGCCTCTTCTCCTCAGCGAGTCCTAGGGCGCTTTTCCAATCCCACACTGCTCTGTGCTGAAGCCAAAGCCCAGTTTCCTGCTTCAAAAGGCCCTTTGTTTGGACTCTATTTCCAAATCAGCGCATCCAGAGCTTGAACCATCTTGCTTTTGAGAACTCTGATGCCTTGGCAGCAGAAGCCTTTGCCAGCAGGTTTGTGGTCCTCACAGCTTTCAAAATCCTCAATGTGAGGGTATGTCTATAGCTAAAAACTCTTTTCATGAGAGGAGGGGCAGAGAAAGTATTATTTTAAGAGTTGCAAAAACAACTGCGAATTGACTCTTTAGTCTTTAATTGCTACCAGAAGACTGAGAACTTCTTGTTCTCAATTGTATTCAATTAAGATGATCGTTTTAATGAACTTTAAATGATATTGGTTCATAGGCTCTGCTCAATCTCTGGGGCAAGTTTTGCCTCAGAACACTGGAATGCATTAAAGACAAATTTCCAACACGTTCTCTCCAAATTGGAAAACACCTTCCTTTAGCAAGCGCAGACAGAAAGGTAGCAACATCTGTACAGCTACTCGGTGATTCCCTGGAAGGACTCCAAAGTTACTTTTGGCAGATCAGGTAAACTGCATCTAATCCATACCGTGTACACTGCACATCCTATCAATCCAGGTAGCACTCTCTCTTATTCCTTGTGAAGCTTGCCAGCTGTGACAGAAAAGTTTCTAAACAAAAAGGTTTTAGAGAGTAGGGTAGAGATTAATGTGGAAGAGCCTACTGTCTATATCTCCCAATCTTGGGACACTCTGTCAGATAGGAACTGTTGTCCTTCTTTTACAGATGAGGAAACTGAAGTTCAGAAAGGTTACAACCCTGGCCTCGGGTTGTAAGCTAGCAAATGGTGGAGCCAGGATTTGAGTCCAGAACTGTCCCCCAGGACACATCCTCTTTCCATTGTGCCGTATCGCCTCTGAAAGTTTAAAACTTTCTAACTCTTGAGATTAAACTGTGGGAACTTCTTAGGGTGAATCTCTTTATCTCTCCTCTTATGTCGCAACCCTGTACAGGATTCAGCAATTCAACACGGATCAAGACATCTAACCGTGAAGCAATGTCCTAAGTGTGGAGTCTTTTATATTTGATGACCTCAGCAGAGCTTAAAGATCATCTAACTCAACTGCCCCATTATTTAGGGAAGGAAAGTTAACCCAACAGAAAGTA